ACGGCACCAAATATTAGACTATACCCCGATTCCTGTATGTGAATGTGCAAGCGCGAAGACCGAACACTCCGCTCTGTTCTAACTATATATTTTGAATGAATGAATAAATAAAAACACAATCATATATACATAAAAGAGAATCTACTAACAACGAGAGAGAGTGACTAAAAATGGAAAGAAGACCAACACTGACAGACAGCGATAACAAGTGTCTAGCGTTAGTGGCGAAATAGAGAGAGAGAGAGAGAGTAAGAGAGAGAGAGAGAGCCGCTAACACCCGGCCAAGAAGAATAGCAGTCACATCACTCGTTAGTTAATCGATGCTGCGATACAGGTGCGCGTCTTCTGATACCATCCGACGTGTCAAAAGTGCTAGAACTCAAATAAAAAAGAAATAGAGAACGTGAGTATCGATTTGTGGCTGTTCTGCTGGATGAATGCCAGCCATTTTTTTGAGAGACGAAGTGAGAAAGAACAGAATCGAGTGATATATACCCATCAATACATCAAACCAATGTGATCGACAAACTCTGTTCTCGATCAAAGATGGATCCGCAACGTAGTACGATATCGAAGATGAACATTGTGCTATGAGTGAGAACTAGAATATCACTAGTGAAAAAGCTGTCACTTGAATAATGGTAGCAGTGAAGGGAAGGTGAACCACACACCGACCGTTTTGATCAATCAAACGTCGGAGAGCCAAGGATGATTCATCACGATCGATAACCATTTATGGACAGCCACTGTAGTCATCATGTGCAGAGTTGTGGGAGCGATCAGCGAAGTTATAAGAATGTTCTGGTCAACTATCTGTTTCAATGCTTGAGATGTACCCAGAACAGGAGCATGATGATCTTCAACTTCTGCACATGTATTGTGAGGATTTTCAGCAAAAGCTGTACTTGTCCATCGATAGCTACATTTGAAACTCGTTGAATGATGCAGCCGTTCTTTCAATCCCTGATGAGTCGGCTACGATGCTTGAGATGGTCGAGCAGAAACTGAACTGAAACGGTCACGAGAAGATCCGATTCGATGCTGGAAATCCGCAGCTGAGAAATTATCCTATGGGGAACCCCGCCAGCCTTGAGGTTGACTCAGGTGAGACATTGACCATCTCGTTCCCTCGCTGTTCTGTCTTACTAATGATCATAGACTCTCACAACACTGAATCTTTTGGGCAACGATATCGGCGCTGAAGGAGCGCAGCATTTAGGCACAGCCATGCGGGTGAATCAAGTGAGACATTGACCATCTCGTTCCCTCGCTGTTCTCTCTCACTGATGATCACAGACACTCACAACACTGGATCTTAGAGCAAACAGTATCGGCGCTGAAGGAGCGCAGCATCTGGGCGAAGCCTTGAGGGTGAATCAGGTGAGACATTGACCATCTCCTTCCCTCGCTGTTCTGTCTCATCGATGATCACAGACACTCACAACACTGAATCTTACCGAAAACGGTACTGGCGCTGAAGGAGCCCGGCATCTAGGCGAAGCCTTGCGAGTGAATCAAGTAAGACATTGACCATCACGTTCCCTCGCCGTTCTGTCTCATCGATGATCACAGACACTTACTACTCTGAATCTTTCCGAGAACAGAATCGGCGCTGAAGGAGCGCGGCATCTAGGCGAAGCCTTGCGGATGAATCAAGTGAGACACTGATCATCACGTTCCCTCGCTGTTCTGTCTCATCGATGATCACAGACACTCACAACACTGGATCTTTCCGACAACGGTATCTGGGATGAAGGAGCGCGGCATCTAGGTGAGGCCTTGCGGGTGAATCAAGTGAGACACTGACCATCGTGTTCCCTCGCTGTTCTATCTCACCGATGATCACAGACACTCACAACACTGGATCTTAGAGCAAACAGTATCGGCGCTCAAGGAGCGCAGCATCTGGGCGAAACCTTGAGGGGGAATCAAGTAAGACATTGAACATCTCGTTCCCTCGATGTTCTGTCTCACCGATGATCACAGACACTCACAACACTGGATCTTCCCTACAACAGAATCGACGCTGAAGGAGCGCGGTATCTAGACGAAGTCTTGCGGATGAATCAAGTGAGACGCTCATCGTGAAGCCCTCTCGATGTTGTCTCTCACTGGTGCTGACCAACACTCAGAATTACCGGAGTTTGGTAGTGTGTCTCACATGCGTTGGTGAAGGGGTGGGTTGAGAGTGGTCGATGTATGATGAACAGTGAAGCTTCAAGTTTGCGGTTCGTATTTTCGCTTTCTCGTTGGTTCAGCCTATTTGGAAATGAGATTTTCCTGTGTTTTCAATTGAAACTTTTCTCGTTGTGTTTTTGTGCATGGTTTGGGATGGTCTAGTTTTATAGCTATCTTTCCTTATAAATATTGTCCTAGCATGTAAAGTGTACGATCGGTGACTATTTCGGTGGTAAAATAGGGTGATTGTGATATGTGATAGATGGGTGTGACTTTTCCACATCAGCCGGACTTTCATCAAAGCTATAGACCGAACCTACAGTTTTTCATCGCATCATCCAAAACCATCATCTTCAGAAATCCACACTCAACTCCACGAAAGCGGTGTCCTCTCTCTCAGTGAGAGATGAGGACGGAGAACTGAATCCCCTAGCTACACACGGATATCCCATATGCTTCAAGTGGAATCACATTGAACTGTTTGTTAATGGCAACACTTCGCTCCGCATTCAAACACCATCAGGTGCATCAACACGGTCGGCAATGCTCAGACCGCGTTTCTCAACCTGAGCATTATCGGAGGCTCAACTACCAAACTCAGTCACCTCTCAGATCACATGGTGTCCTGGTGCAGTTGTGAGGTTACCGTCCTGCAGCGTCGCTCGACATCTGTCCTCACAAGTAGGATGACACAATGCACCGACACCGTGATCTGAGAGGTGACTGAGTTTGGTAGTTGAGCC